TAATATGAAATATCACTGTTAAAATATTAAAAGGAAACTTGAAAAGTAAAACATGAATTGATGTTAATGAGCATCACTGGTGCAAATACTATTCCTTTATCTCCCAGTTCTATTGTCGTCTTATATGCCTTTATCACTGCTTATATACGTTTCAAGTCCAGCTATAATAATACCAGGTAAGTAACATGAAAGGAGCCCCTACAACCTTGGATTTTGCTGCTGCAGAGAGGGGGATGTGACACGACAAAGTTTCAGTTAACACTTTATTGGTTCAGGTCCTGGAGGCTCCAGGACTCGTGAATTCTCGGAATGACGAAACATTTTTATACATATATGATAATAAATACAGATAAAACTTACAATGATGATAAAATGATTCGTAAAACAAAGTTATCAATAAAATTTATAATAAAACCTTTCCAAAGACAGAAATAAGAAAGATAAGAAACATTTAAATTATGAAACAGTAAAAATTAAAACCTGAGAAATTCTAAAAAACATGAAAAGTAATTAAAATAAAATAATGCTTTATATCAAACCAGTAAAATAAATTGAGAAAAATAAGAATACTTGCTAAAAATAAATAAATAAATAAATAAATAAATAAATAAATAAAAGGAATGTCACGGGTGATAAATCCTCGACTAAATTATAAAACCGTCAAATCAAGACCAGGTGATCTAAAATGTATAAAAATAAAATAAAACTGAAAACGTATCTTCAGAACAAGTAGAAGATGTAAAACAGTGAAATAAAGATTGAGAAAAAAATGCGTCACGTCTCAATCAGAAGTATAGATTGATTAATTCGGTGATCGCAACTGGGTTTAAAGATTAAATAAAAAAATAAAAACGCAATTTAAAATGCTGAACTAAAAATGGGACCCGTAAAACCAACAATTATGACATTAATGTAAACACATTATAAAAGCGAAAGAAAACGGGTGTAGGGTAAACCATGGGAATCACGCGCAGGTAACTCAGGTGCGCATAGGTGTCGCACGAAAAGTGCCAACTGGAGTTCCACGCCCTCCCGGTAATTAGTACATTCCACAGTCCTCCCATGCCTTGGGTCAGAGTGGTCAGCGAAGACAGTCTGAAACAAAATAAAAAATTGGCTTGAGCCCCATTACTTGCCTTTACAACATTTAACGTTGACAGCCAGACGTGTCCACAAGCAGAAGGCAATAAAACAAAGACAAAATACATTACGACAACAAAGTAACTCAGAGTAGTTCAGCTCCAGCATCTGCAGCTCCTCGAGCGGTGTCACAGGTCTCTGCTTCCCGCACCATGGACGTCAGCATGGCAACCCAGGGGTCATCTGGGTTAAGGGCCTCAGCAGCAGCAGCATCGTCACCATCCTCGACCTTCTCGTCATCTTCGACCTCGGCGTCAGCAACATATGGAAGCTCGGCTGGTGCATGGTAAGCCGTCAAGTGATTAAGATGAGCCTTCATCTGGACTTCGGTGGTGACGTCTTGGATCTTATCACCCTTTTGCGACGGTCATAGTACCTCCCATAGATTCGACACGCTTCCTTAGAGGCTTCTACAGCTGCACAACGGGCTTCCTGAAGGCGCTCCTGGAGCTTGGCATTTTCGTCGAAGAGTTTCATTGGTGAGGTTGATGGAAAAGTTGGCATGTCTACCAGTAAGCAGGTAAAGAGGCTGCCCACCAGTAGTGCGGTGGATGGCCGAGTTGATTGGTAGGCGTAGCTCAGGAACAAACTGGTGCCAGACTCTTGGACGGTTGTTCACAAGAACAGTGAATGCAGACTACAACATGGTCTGTGCACTCCACCAGCGAATTGTGTAGTGATTGCTAGCGTGCATTAGCTGGGTGAGTTCATGGAACAGGTTGCTGGTAAATTGGACTCCATTATCTGTCTGAATGATTCTGGGTGGGCCGAAAATGGTGAGCCAGTGGTCCAGTAATGCTTTGTGTACAGCTACAGCAGTGGCCCTACGAAGTGGGACGATTTTCAAGTAGCGGGAATGCTGATCTAATATTGAAAGAGCCCAACAAACTGTAACATTGGGCCTGAAGTCTATTATATCCATGGAGACCCTCTCCAAGGGGAACTGGGTTAATGGTGTATCTGCCATGGGGACCTTCTGCATATTGCCTCGAGACTGCTGACATACTACACAACTACCACCATACTGACGAGTGTCTCTCAGCATGTTAGGCCAGTAAAACATTGATCTGGCATACTGGAATGTCCAGTATACTCCTGGATGCGAGACCAGTGGGGGCAGATGTGATGTTTTCAATGCTGAGTTCCTGAGGCTCTCAGGCACCACCAACTGGTAGCAAATCCGGTCTGGCAAGTGTCTCAAACGATAGAGCACTCCGTCTCTCAGTTCAAAGTCGCTCAGTGGAAGGGGCAACTTCTTTGGCAGAGTTCCATCCATTAGGTATCACCGGATGTCAGCAAGTTGTGGGTCAGCTGCTTGTTGTTCTGCTAGCTTGTCAGCAAAGAGCTCGTTCATGGTTAACTTTGCAACTTAGTGGGACAACAAGTCAGGAACGTAGTTGGCATGCCAGTCATAAAAGGAGAGGTCGTGTGCAAAGCAAGTCATTCTAGGGGATTTGGTTTTCCTGTTGAAGACGTAACCAACGGTCGTTGGCCGGAGTATACCAAGAATCTCCTACCATATAAGTATAGGTCAAAGACCCTTAGCCCCTTAACTACTGCAAGCGCTTCTAGGTCAATAGTCGGATACTTAACCTCTGAAGACCTTAATTTGCGGCTATCGTATGCAATAGCATGAGGTACTTGATTGCCATTGTGCTGCATGAGACAAGCTCCAACTGCTATCCCTGAAGCGTCAATGTGGAGCTCGAATTCCTTACTTTAGTCTGGCTACCTAAGAACAGGGGCGTCACTAGGCGTTCTTTCAATTCGTTAAAAGCAACTTGCTGCTCAGGGCCCCAATGCCATTTCTGGTCCTTTTTCAATAGGAGGTGGAGTGGAGACCTCACGAACTGAACTGTCCTAGGAGTTGGAGATTTGGAGATGGGCAACACTTTCCCTATATCAGGCGAGATGATGAAGCCTAAAAAGTTTATAGTTGTTGCAGCGAAGGTGCATTTCTCCAAATTGAGCTTTAGTCCAGCTGCTTGCAATAGGCCCATAGTCTCATCTAAATCAACGAGATATGCAAATGTGCAGGAATATATGATGTCATCTAGATATAGTGTATGCTTGCCCAAGACTGCTGCTAAAACCACATTGATGATTCTTTGAAATGTTGTTGGAGCAGTGGAAAGGCCAAATGGAAGGTGTACAAATTGAAATAATCGGTACCCATCAGAAAAGGCCGTCTTTGGTCGGTCTGATGGGTCCACCTCAACAGCTTAATATGCTGCACGAGCATCTAGTGTAGTAAATATTTTCATAGGGCCGAGTTCATCTAGAAGTTCTTCAATACGTGGTAAGAGGTAGGAGTCGCTTTAGGTAACTGTAATTCTGTAATCCACACAGAATCTGACACCTTCATCTTTCTTTCTCACTAGAACCACTGGACTCAACCAAGGACTTGTGGAAGGGTCTATTACTTCATTGCCAAGCATCTTATCACACTGCTCTCTGATGGTCTTCCAAGCAGAGTAGGGTAGTCTCCACTGTCGAGTACATACAGGTTTGGC